CTTTTTTTTTTCCTGCACTGTTAGGCCTACACAAATTGTATGATGTGGTTTAATTTGGTTTTATATCACTTAATTACAAAAATATGTTATGGGTTTGAAAAGTACTTTTTATTTATTAAAAGTTCTGGTATGTAAGTATGAAATGTACTTCAACACCAATACTTGAAGAATATCAAAGGCAAAAGGCAAGTTTAAGGCGATCTTACAGCGTTTTTGTGTGCTTTTATGATATGAAGACTGTACTGTTCATGGCAGTATATGTACAGAGAGAAATGCATGTTATCTTAATGGCTGATATGACTGATAGTTCATCACTCAAGGCCTTTTTATGGCCAGGGAAAGCAAATACATGCAAATGTGTTGATAGAGGACCTTCTTTAGATGTGGGAATCTCTAATTCATTGCATTACTAATATTCCCATCTGTTTTCCTTCGTCAGACATAAACTGCAAATGTATCTCCATTCTGTCTATTCATTTGTATGCACTTCCTCCTGAAGTAAAACGTAGGTAAATGGTGATGGTATGTATTTGTAGATTATTATTTATTAATATTGTTTTTTGTTTACTTAATTATAGACATATATATGATGAAGTAAGAGTGTTACGTCTCCAAAGACATATAGAAATGGTTTGACTGATGAGTTATTAATAATTATTTATATTAACCGTAATATCTTAAGGTTAATAAATCATTGTATACACATTAAATATTGAATGATCAGGGAAGGATCTGGAATCTATGCAAAGATCGAGTGTTATAAGAGAGAGTGTATCTGTGACGGCCCACCCTGTTGAAAAAACCAGCATATGCTGGTTAGGTATGTTTTGACGCTGGGATGCTGGTTTAAGCTGGTCCTTTGCTGGTTTTCGCTGGTCCTTTGCTGGTTTATGCTGGTCCTTTTGCTGGTTTATGCTGGTCATGTGCTGGCAAAGGACCAGCATAAACCAGCAAACGGACCAGCTTAAACCAGCAAAGGACCAGCATAAACCACCAAAGGACCAGTATAAACCAGCAGAGGACCAGCAATATTAGCATAAAAAAGCATTAATATTTATTGTTTTGAGCATTTCTTATTATGGCTTCCTAGACATTTTAGACATTTTG